CCCTTCCCTAAGCCTTACCCCTCCTTTCCCTTTAAAAATTCAAAACATAATGGCCAATTTCCAATGGTTGGGTAGACTATTAAATTGAATACAGTAATATAAGTCAATTACCTTGCTGAAGTTTTCACTTTAGAGAGCAAATGTTTTGTAGCAACGAATTCTAGTGATTTCATTCTTGTAGAATAACAAGATTAAAAGACAATGCCCCTTCTACAATGGACGTTTCCGCTATGCTCCGCCCCTTGGATATTGTTGCTAAGGTCCCACAAGACGGCAGTGTTAAAACATACGCGAACACGTGCGTTTGTGGGACAACACGTGTGTTTGTAAGACGCGCGCGCATTCCTAGCGCTGTTCTGATTAGTCAGTTGTTAAGTTTGATTGACACTCCGGAAAGGTCTATTAGACCTTAACATAACTTTATCAAATTTACACTGGTATAATTTCTTCATATACATTTGATACAAAGACAAATCTTAACCCAACAATGGAAAAACGAGATAGGCAAATAAAAAAATTTAAAAAAACCTCCCAAATGCAATGCGGATATTTGTTAACACGTGTTTTTCCTAGTAATGTATCAAACCAATTAAATCAAACGATTATACGAATCAATCCAATTATAGGCCATGGGGTGAAGACAAAAAGAAGCCTAGAAAAAACCAATATGGAAAAATTAAGCCTTGACTAGTTTATTCATATGTTCTAAACTACATATAAAAAGTTTTCACACTACTGTACTGTGTACCGTTCGCTGTTTGGCATACCCTTGGCCATTGTACCTAAAGTTGAGTTACCAGGACCACGATGAAAATAAACTGGATTATCCATTCCAATCCATTCGAAACTTCGACTAAGGCCAAATTAAAAAAAATACTAGTTTCTCGTCCCTTCGCATATCCATTTTCTCTGCCTCAACATATTTTTGTTTAATTGGCGCTATATAAATGTTTATTATTATTATTATTATTATTATTATTATTATTATTATTATTATTATTATTTAAATATAATTTCCTTTATTTTATGAAATGTACGAAAATCTGGTTAACTCACATCAGTAAAATTCCTCTCTATCGTTCGTGGTTAGGGACACATATGGTATGAATCGTGCCTAGTGCTTCTTTTATTTGCTTTCAATTTGTTTACTTGGTAAAAGTGAGAAACTAGTAGCTGTTTCCCATCCACCATCTTGGATTTGGCATCTCAGAGTAAAAAAAATCCCTCATTCTCCTTTGTTCAAAATATTAGGACGAGAAACTAATCTTTTTTTTTACCTGGCCTAATAGTTTTCCGTGGGCTATCATGGCCTACATAGGCCTAGTTTGTAAATATTAATGTGTTTTTCCAGTACTTACTTGTCACTGTTATATTTTCCTGATTGTTTCTTTTGACTAATTTTAAATCTTTTGAATGAATGAATTAATTAATTAATAAATGGTTTTCGTTTTCTCTAGCATGTGAAAGACAATGCAAAAGTGATTTATATTGCGGAAATTGCAACATGTATTGTGCCTGCAAAATATTAAGTTCTGCCGTTGGAGGAGGCCATAGTGGAAAATACTTAAAGTTGGGGAGTGGCAGGAAAGTGTACTGTACTGATGTAGAAAAAAGGTGTAGACGAAAGCGACTTGGAAAACGAATTTTCACACCTGCTGAAAATTGGGAATCATATATTGAAGAATCAGAAGTAAGAAAATTTACCATTTTATACCATGTAATAATAATAATAATAATAATAATAATAATAATAATAATAATAATAATAATAATAAATAGGCCTAATAATGTTACTAATAATAATAATAATAATAATAATAATAATAATAATAATAATGATAAAAATAATAAACAAACATTTGTTACGCGCCAATTTCAAAACAAATGACCAAAGCCGCGAAAGTATACATAGACAATGGATTGAATAAAGTAGTGGAGTAATAAATATATACCGTACGTAAAGTGATTATGGTGGTGGTTATGAAGATGGTAAGTGGTGGTGATTATGATTATTATGGTATTGATGATGATGACGATGATGATAATAATACTAGTGATGATTATGATGATGATAGTAGGGCAGATGGTGATCATATTGGTAATGATGGTGGCGCCAGATGATGATGATTATTGTCTTGGCGATGGTGATGATTATAATAACAATAATGGTGATTATTAAGATGGTTATGATGATGATGGTGATGATGATAATGATGGGGTTAATGTAAATGCCTGATTGACATCTGCAAAACCAGAATGATACACATTTTACACTACATATTATCATTTTATATTTTTTATCTGCCAGGCTAGTTGGCAGAACCCTAATGTAGGCCTTTATGAGAGCCGCAACTCAATACCTTTTGAAAGTAACGAACAACTATATTCTGAAAGGTCATCATTAAAAGAAATCATCCGCATGGTAACGTATAAGCCTACGTGTATATCTGTAACTAAGTGTTCATCCGTCATGTGCATTTTAACAGTTTTGCGCATTATCAAATTGTTCAAGAAATTCCTTGCGCAGTTTAATAATGTGCAAAAATATTCTTGCGCAATTTGAATTGTTGAAAACATACATTATTACTGTACTTTGTGGGGCTATCTAGAAAAGTAAGATGCGTATAAAACATCCATCCACTCGTCTATGAGACTATCTAGAAAAGAGAACTGGGTATAAAACATGCATCCAATCTATTTAATAATAATAATAAAGATTTATAAAGCGCACATCTCCACCAAAGGTGCTCAAGGCGCATTTATTATATACCAGACGATAGCAAATAATATGCGTCCAATGCAAAGATCAACAATTTACTATGTTACAATAATATAATACAAGAATGTATAAAAACTAGAAAAGTTAATATAGACAGTTGGTTTTTATGAAAAATAAGTTAAATTTTAAGTTTTCATACCTTAAAAATTAAACAGAAATCACATTTTTCTAATTTTTTTTTTAAATTTTTTCATTAAGTGTTTAATATTTGTTATAGGTAGTTTTCGCCGCACGACGTTAACCTTAACTTTAACGTTAGTATTCAACATGCAACGCGATAGCTCCTCCCCTTTTGTAAATAAATCAAGTACTAAAGTACGTCGAGCACGTAAAATCCTAAAATTAACGTACTTCGCAACGCAATATGAATAAATTATGACGTCATCCGTTAACGTTAACGTCGTGCGGCGAAAACTACCGGTACCTAATATTGCCAATATATTGTTAAAATACCACTCCACTTCACTTCATTCAACGAGAACACTCTACGTTAATCACTCTCCATACGTCAGAGAGCGTTCGACTGCACGACGACGGTATGACACTTAAAGGCCAACTCAGACAGCGTCGGCCGACGCAGCCCGACCCGATTTATCGTCGGGGACAGTTTTAAGCCGTCGTGAGAAATATTAAACACGTTTAATATTCTACTACGCGACTGCCCCCGACGGCGCACACCATCGCATCGCGACAACAAATCGCGTCGGGCTGCGTCGTACGACGCTGTCTGAGTTGGGCTTAATAGTTGGATTGTTCATCGGCCAGTCCTTGTACAGGAAAAACTTAAGCCACCGACGATATATGCAAGAGCCCAATTGACGTACCAGTTTAGAAAAAGTTTCTTTTGATTTGCATAAATTATTGTTAAAAATATCGATTTTTGCAATACTTTGTACTAATACATTTAAATTTAACGAAATGATTTTTTTTTCACATCATCTAACCACTCTTTACAAAAGACCCAGCGATGTCACTCTGGTTCATTCATCAAAATCAAAGGTTTTGCGCTGTGATGACGTATTTGTGACGTTACTGGCTCCGTAACATAGCGTCGGAGGCTTTAGTAAAACCAGCCAATGACCAATCCAGCTAATATAGTAGATCAGTGCGGGACGACCTAAATCGTATTGATGTTACTAAAGCCAGGTGCTCAATGCGCCACGACGCGAGCTCAGCGGATTGTTGTTAATCACGATACGTTCAGACTGCCACCAGCAATCAGCATACGGAGTCGCGTCGTCTAACGCTCTCAGAAAGCGAAGTTGGATTAGTGGGCTGACGGTCGTACGACCGTCGTCCGACGCAGTATCTGGCTTAAGAAATCTGCATTGAGTTGTCTGACGCAGTTTTGGTCTGAATTTACGTTGTTTCGCATCAGTACAATTCATACATCACCGTATATCTCACTACGCCACGTCACTACTTTACACCAGGCCACTTCAGACAACTTCCATTACATTACAACACATTACTCTTGTCCACTCCATAATTTCTCTTTGTATTTCTTCTCCATAGATTCTTCGTAAAAGTAACCTGAACTATTACGATACGGACCGACTATAAAATCGATTTTGAGGGAGTTGATCG